CACCTGCACTCACACAGACCCAACACAGCAGATACAAACACACGAACCAAAAAAAAAAAAAAAAAAAAAAAAAAAAAAATCTGAGGTGGATCTCCATGAGTTCGAGGCTGGCTAGTTCCAGGGCTAGACAAACCCTTTCTCGAAAAACCAAAAAGTAAATAAAAACTCCTGCCAGGCCGTTGAGATGGCTCTGTGGGTAAAAGCACTTGTTGCCAAAGCCTGGGTACCTGAGTTAAATCCCCAAAACCCATATAGAAGTTAAAGTAGAACTGACTCCAAGTTTTCATCTGATCTCCCCACAAATAAATGTATGAAAAAGGTAAAAAACATTCTTTTTAAAACCTGCCACCAGCTGGGGATATCATGCCCATAGTCCCGGCCCTAGCACCCAATTTGTTTGAGGCCAACCTGGTCTACAAAGTGAGTTTCAGATTAGCTTGGACTAAATGAGACCTTAATAAAATAAAATAAGATTAAAAAAAAAAAAAGTGTAGGTAGGGGACTAGGGCGTTGGCTCATCAGTGAGGACATCCAGGTTTGATTCCCATCACTGACATGGTGTTTTATAACTGTCTATATAACTTCAGGAGATCCAGACATGAGTTCAATCCCACGTGCCAACATAATGAAAGAAAAAACCCAAATCCCACAAGTTGTCCTCTAATTCTAATGCCAGAATACACAGAAACACACACACACACACACACACACACACACACACACACACACACACACACACACACAAGCAATTAAACGTAGTGGGAAAAATGTTAAGGGAGTGGTGGCTCATGCCTGTTACTCCAGCATACGGGAGGCCTAGGTAGGTGACTCAACATGGGTTCAAGGCTAACCTGAGCTAAACATTAAGTTTCAGGCCACCACAAACACCCACACCCCCCAAAGTGGCCAGAAAAGCAGTAACTATGTTATGTTTGCATTTGGTTGCAGTTTGGGGGTAGGGCTGGGGTGAGACAGGATCTGGATATAAGCCTTGTCTGGCCTGGAACTCGTGTTGGCTAAGGATGGTCTTCCTGCCTCTGCCTATCAAGTGATGATGAGATTATAGGAGTGCACCACACTCCCCAGGTAATGGTAGAGTCCTGAGGGTTTAAAAGCTTGTTTCTTTCACTCACAAGTGAACAAGAAATTAAATGTCTCAGAGACTAAAACAGAAACAGAAAAGACACGGAGAAGCTTCAGATCACTTCAACAGGATCTGGGTTGTACTCCCAAAACCACACGACGGGCTCAGAATCACCTACAACTCCAATCCCAAAGCTTCCAATGGCACCGAGCACACAGTGGCACAGACACAACAGCAGACAAAACACACACCCACACACAAACTAAGTAACACTTACCAGAGGTTACCAGGCTCAAAGAGCTCTGTGGCTTCCCCTTATCTCCTTCCCAGACCAATCTAGGTAAAGCCATCCAGTTCATACTGATGTCATACAAACCGCCCTATGGAAGTGTTGAGGCACTAGCTAACTCCTCAGCTAAGCTGTTTACAGACTGCCTAAGTGGTCCATGCTGAAATGGCATTTATGTTCCACTGCACTAAACCCTCCACTGCAACTTCAACCACAGCAAATGTGACAGGCAGAGTACAAAATCTAACATTTCTCACTTTTGGTTAATCAAGTTTGCTGAGCTGGATGTGGTAGGGCTTGCTGTCACAGAAATGTCTCAACCTTTTAAAAGGACTTTTAAGCTATTGTATGTTTCCATGCATTACAAAATTTACAACTCCCTTCCATGAAATCAACTGAGAATCCACAGATTGGAGTGCACTCCAAAGGGGAAGTCAAGAATGTTGGATGTTAGACAGCATGATATAGATAGCTCAACTGTAAACCCAACACTCGGTCAGGAGACTAAGGCTGAAAGGCAGAAAGACCGCCAGAGTTTGAGACTAGTCTAGGTTACATAGTGAGCCATCAGGCCAGTCTAAATCAGATCTGGGCTCTGTCAAAACAAAAAACAAACAAACAAACAAACAAAAACCAAACTGGGTCTTTTTCCAAACTTGAACCAACTCTGAAACATAAAAACTCAAAGCCAACAGAGGGTATTTCAAAACCATCAAGGATACAATCCAATTTCACAGGTGATAAAGCTACTACCCTGAAATGATCACAATAGCATTTTATTTCAGACACCAATGTCTGAAAGCATTCACTATGAAAGTAAAAATGGGCCAATGAGGTGGCTCAAGAGGTAAAAGCATTTGCTGCAAGGCCAGCTGACCTGAGTCTGATTCCCACAGACCATCCAAGATGGAAGGAGAGAACTAGCAAGTCCTCCTTCAACTCCACAAGAGCACCATGGTATGTATACAGGAATACATACACACACCCACACACGAACCAATACAAAAATGTTTTAAAAAATTAAAGGAAAAGGGAAGCATGCTTGTTTGATTATTGTTTTAACCTTATCTGAACTTTTGTTATCAAGGTTATTCTTCACTGAGTTATATCAAAATTGGACATTCAGTACCAAATGAAAGCAAGTTACTGAACTCCTGCTTAACCAGAAACCCAGTCTCCTGAAAGGAAGGAATGGGGGAGGGGCATCGACCCTTGTAAGACAGAGCACTTGTTTAGGACAGAGCCTTAAGCCCCTCCAGCCACACCTTCCCGCTCCCACAAGCCATGGAGTGGACAGCTCCCTACACGTCTCGCTGCACGCAGGTGAGACTCCATCCAGGCTTTCTCTCAGCCACGTGTTGTCCAATGGGAAGAGGCAGGAGAGGATCTCTCAGTTTGAGGCCAGCCTGATCTACAGAGACTCAGCATGCCATGTGTTCCCGACAAGGAAAGGTTGTACCACCCCCAGAACTGTAAGCCAGAACAAACCCTTCTTTAAAAATTAAAAGAGAATTATTCCAACTCTTGTGAGGGAGAAGTTTCCAACCTTGCTTCACATCCAGCTACATCTCCACAAATACTGTTTTCAGTGAGACTCAATTTGCTTCCCCAACTGCTAAATGGAAGTTAAAATAATTGTGTAGTTTGAATCAACTAGTGTTTCTCAAGAGCAGACAAGCTTTTTACTGAGTAGCAGCTTCCTAAAGCTGAGAGCGACCCACAAAATAGGCTGCCCCACATGAGCTTTTAATTTTTTTTAAAGATACTATCTCCAACTACATCCCCCCCAGTTCAGCAAGATTTTCTGTGTTTTTCTAAGGAGCAGTCTGTTTTACACCCATGCAAGATCCATTTCTTGAGCTACATCTAAGGTGGCTCATGCATTTGGGAGGTTGAGGATTTCTGTGAATTCCAGACTAGACTGTGCTACAGAGTGAAAAGCTGTTGTAAAGCATGCTGGAGGAGTCAGAATAATATTTACTCGTCTAGGTTTCAAAGTGTCAAAAGAATTCTTGAAATTTTTCTCAGAATATTTTGGTATCATTAACTATAACATGTTCATCTTTATTAGTCTGCAACCAGAATTCTTGAAGAATTCAGAATGCTTAAACTTAAAATCGAAGCAAAACCCAGGCATGCTGGTGGGTGTGAACCCAGCACTCAGAGGCTAAGGTAGGTAGGTAGGAAAGACTGGATTCTCAAGTAAGAGCAAATGGGCTAATGTTATTAGCCAGACATCCACCCCCCCCCCAAACACAACCCAAGGAGAGAAAACACTATTGGCTTATAACTTCCTCATCAAAACACAAGCAGATGGCCAAAGGTAAATGCTAAGTTACTTTAGGAACACAAGGAACATGGTATTTCCTTAAAAATACATTAAAAATAGACTGCTTCGATTATGAAATTCTACAAAGCAATCAAAAATTAAAGCGGCAGTCTAAGCATACAAAATTTCTTTAATGTTCTATCTAGAAAAATGGTAGTGCATTGTTACTTCTAACAAGCTCTAGAAAAGAGCGAATTCCTTCAGACACCTCCCCCATCTGTGACTTAAAAAAAAAAAAAATCACCGAGAGGGACGTGACTCCCACATCAAAGTATGGCTATATAGTGACGTTTTAAAAGCCACATCCTAATTTCTTTAGACCTTCGAGGCTGCATCTTGTGACTCCAATCCTTTCCGATTCGGCAAAGTTACTGTAAAGGACATCAATTCACACTGTTCCTTTCCACAATGGTCTTTCTGTGTCTAAACTTTCGCCCAGATTTGATGACCAACATTCAAATCCCCTTAGAGATGATACAACTGGCATACGTAAGGGATTTGGGGAGCAGTGATTACATACAACAAACCAACAGTCTTCTCAGAAGTAAAGAAAAGCCAGGGTTGGGGGTCTCCTCCCTGCACAAGTTGGCTCTGTGAGCTCCAGGAGACCAGCCATATTGGAAAACACTTGTCAATTACAGTTCTGACAAGTGCTCCCGAACACCGATGCACGAAGCTAACCTTGTGTACCGAGGTGTACATCAAGGGCCTCTGGAGCTCGGCTGGAGCGTCTGGGGGCTGTCTCCGGGATAGAGTCGTCCTTCGGTCCGAAAGAGAGCCGCGGCGAGGGAAGGAGGGTGGGGAAAGGAGAGTTGAGGGGGATGGTGAGGAGTTGGAAGCCGCTCAGCGGCGAGAGAGGGGCGCGGCGGCGGCCGCCAGGGATTTCCGAGTTGAGATCTGGGGGAGGGGAGGGGCCGAGAATTCAGGGGAGCGGGAGACCGCGGAGGGAAAAGTATTCCGGGTCTGGGGTCCCAGAGTCGGGGGGGCAGGGGAGATCGCGACCGAGACGTTCCCAGGGCGGGCGGGCGAGCGGGCGGGGTCGGGGAGGAGGGGCAGGGATCGCGGCGAGAAAGTCCCCTCGGACCCCTCGGCGGAGGCGGGGAGTCTCGATAGAGAGAGCGGGGGGGGGGGATCGCGGCGCGGAGGGCGCCCGGCTGGGCCCCGGCTCCGGGAGGTGGGAAGGAGGAGCCCCCTCGACGGGGTGCGCGCAGAGCGGAGTCCCCTCCGAGAGAGTCAGGGAGGAGTCCCCCGAGCCCCGCCACCGGCGCCGGGCAGGGAGCCCGGGGCGGCGCACTGACCTGTCCTCCGAGTCCATGCGGCTCAGCGGCTCCCCGTCCGACGACATCTCCAGGCTGCCCCGCCGGCCCCCGGAGGTCGCGCTGCTCCCGCCTCCCCCGGTGCCGTAGCCCTCGTCGCCGCCGCTCGACACCACGCTGCTGCTGCTGCTGCCGCCGCCGCCGCCCGGGCCGCCCGGGCCGCCCCGCGGCCCCTTGGGCTCCTCCAGGCCCTCCTTGCCGTCCCCATCGCCGCTGCTGCTGCTCGCCGCGCCCGGGCTCAGCGAGCGCGCCTCGTCGCCGCTGCAGCCGCCGCTGCTGCTGCCCACCAGGCTCTCGGCGCTGCTCTCCTCCTCGGCGCCGCCGCTGCTGCTGCCGCCGTCCTCGTCGTCGTCGTCGTCGTCGTCCTCGTCCCCGCCCGCCTGGCTGGCGCTCTCGGGGCTCGGCTCCGACATGGTCTCCGCCTCGCCGCCCCCCGCGCCGCCGCCAACGCCGCCGCCAACGCCAACGCCGCCCGCCCCGCCGTTCAGCAGCAGCGCGGCCACCGCCTCCGCCTCCGCCTCGTCGTCGTCCTCGTCGTCCTCGTCGTCCGGCGGCTCGGGCCGGCCGCGCGCCGCGGGCCCGGGGCTGCCGGGGGGCGGCGGGCTGAGGCGGGAGAGCTCCTCCAGGTCGGCCATGTCGGTGAGCGCCGCGGCCATGGCGGCGCCTGCTGCTCCTCCGCCTCCTCTCGCCGCCGCCTCCCTCTCGCGCGCGGCGCGCCGCCCCGCCTCGCCCCCGCCCCCTTCCCCGGCCCCGGCCCCTTCCCCGTCCCCGCCCGCCTGCCCGCAACGCCCGCCCCGAACTCCTCTCGGCCGCCGCCGCCGCCGCACAGCGGGGAGGAGGGCCCGCGGGGGGCTGCGTCGGGGCCGCACACGCGCTACGGAGCCCGCGCGGGGACACGCGCCGGAACGCGCGCGCGCGCTCGAGCGAGCGCAGGGACGCGGAGGCGGCAGCGCGCCTGCGCGCCGGGCTCCCCCCCCCGCGGCGAGCGGCCACGCCCCCTCGCTCCAGCTCCACCCCCTCCCCCGGCAGCCAGCGGGCCCCGCCCCTCCGGGCTCCTCGCTCGCGGCCTCTTCCCACGCCTTCCCGGGCGCGGCGGCGGCGGCGGCGGCGGCGGCGGCGGCGGCGGGGCGAGCCCCAGTCACGGGGGGGTTCTGGGGCCCTGTGCTCCTCTCGGAGATCGCCGTCCGCCCACGGGGTGTGGGCAGCGAGCGTGTCCTGGAGGAGGGAGCCTAAGTGCAGCAAGTGTCTGGCCGCACTCAGACACACAGACTGACAGGCAGCCCACGAAAATGTGCGGGAAGTAGAATAAGTCGGCTTCTCCTTTTTTCCTTTGAGGGATCGAGCCCGCGGGCACAACAGGGTGCCACGGCCTCCCTCTCAGCCGGGCCTGCTCACCTGTCCCAAAGTCCCAACCGAGGTGCCAGGGAGGAGGCAGCTCGGGCCAAGTAGGCAGCGATGTTTTCCTTTTTTCTCTTTTTTTCTTTCTTAGCGATTTTTTCCTTTTTTCTCTGTCTTTTTTCTTTCTTTCTTTCTTTTTTCTTTTCTTTTTTTTTTTTTTTTTTTTTTTTTTTTTTTGGCTCAAGGTCCTCGAAGTTTTTTTTTTGTTTGTTTGTTTGGTTTTTTTTTTTTTTTTTTTTTTTTTTGATTTTTTAGGTTCAGGAGCCCCTGGTAAAATTTCGGGTGCGGCTGCGAAGAAGTCGCAGAGTGATGATGGTCCAGCCGGTAAGAGGCCTGGGCGCTCTCCCGGAGGACCCGGCACTCGGTTCCCAGCACCCCCAAGGCGGCTCACAACTGTCCCTAACTCCACTCCACACGGTCTGACGCCCTCTCCCGGCCACCGCTGCCACCGGTCACGTGGGTGGGGCACAGGAGTGGCTGCGGGCAGAATACTCAACAGAAAACAGCGCCAGGGAGGGAGAGGCGGGAGGGTCTGTGGCCAGCCTGGTCTACGTGGTGAGTTCTGGGCTGGCCGGTGATACACAGTGAAACCCTGTCTCAAACAGAGAAAGGGGGGGCGTGAAGAAGAAAGAAAGCAAGCCTGGAAGGAAAAGATCACTCAAACTTACTGGAAAAGCCCCTCCCCGTGCAGGGGCAGGAGTCCCTTTCCTTAGTGCCCAAGGGCTTTAAGGGATGCACTGCACCCTCCTAAAATTTTTGATAAGGAAAAGTTGGGCCTTTGTTTTGTAAAAATGAAGGCCAGGACATTTTGAGGAAAGCTGATAAAAAGAATCCAGATCACACCCGGACCCCAGGGCACATCTCCTGAGGCTCTGGTTGAGATGCACTCTCGCATTCTCAACGACAATGAGCTTTGGGGCACACAGTCTCAGCTCCTCCCACGCCCAGGGAGAGCACTTTCTCTTTTCTAGAATTCACTGGGCTAATTTAAAACACACACACACACACACACAAATGACAACACAGCCTAACAAGGTATTCTATTCGCAGCACTCTAGTGAGGCAGAATTACTGCAATTTTGAGACCAGCTAGTGTGGGCCACAAGGTAGATGCCTTTGTCACCACAAACACCCCAGTATTACGGCCACAGCCCTAACCTTAGGATACTATTACATGTAATGTGTTCATGCCAAAAGTGTTCTTCCCCCAGCGGATGGAAACATCCTCAAAACATGTTGTCTCCGCCAGGCTGTGGGGGGTGTGTGGGCTCATGCCTTTAATCCCAGCACAGCAGACAAAGGCTATCTCTGCCTTTCGAGATTACAACTGCCTGGAATTACAGGCAGTTCGAGGCCAGCCTGGTCAGAGCGAGCTCCAGGACACCTAATGCTACACAGAGAAGCCCTCTCTCCAAAAGCAAAAGTTGCCTCAAGAGAAAGCAGAAAATAAAGTAGTGATAGGGGACAAATGTAGTGTATAAATGCTTCTACCGCGCAAGGCACTAACCTTCAGAGTCGTTCTTCCAGACGAGTCAATCATCTTGGATTGTGAGCCAGTTGCTCTGTTACACACTGGAGATCAGGATTCATTGTGGCTGACAGACGAAATCCAGGTCTTTTTAGCTGAGAACTGTAATGCGAATATTCTAATCCTTCTCACACCATAAAACCCACACTAGGAATCTGATGGCCTGGAGCAGGGACCCTCTTGCCCTTGGAGTAGTGACTGCTTTCCTCAGTTTCCTGTGCCAGGATTCTAGCCAATTGAAGAAGATCATGAGATCCAACCCCAGCCAATGGGAAAAGGCACAGCCACCACCTGTGCTCAACCTCATGAGCACACCCACTTGATCAAGAGTGGTTACCTAATTCAGTCCCTTCCGGCGCAGTGATGGCCACTTTCTTTGTGACCCCAAATTTCTTTCTTTTTTAAAATAGTTTAACTTTTCTTTATGTGCATTGGTATGAAGGTGTCCTGTCGGATTCCCCAGATCCCCTGGAACTGGAATTACAGGCAGTTGTGAGCTGTCATGTAGGTGCTGGGAATCGAACCTAGATTCCCTGTAAGAATAGTCAGTGCTCTTAACTGCTGAGCCATGTCCCGACCCCCTTGGTCCCAAATTTCTAACATGCAAAATTATCAATTTCCCTATAGTACATCACTTCATGGGATATGTTGGATTAGGCACTGTATTCAAACAAATGGGGGCCAGTTATCACTGGCTTGGATCTCACTGACTCTCCTGCCCACCCCACCCTCCACCTAAGTTAAGACACTGGGGGGGGGGAGGTCCAGAAAGCACCCTACAGTCCATCCCATTGCCTTCCCACACGTGACTGCTGTTCTGGGCACCAACCATGTCTACCAGAATCTGAAAGACAAACCAAACGGGCAAAGCCAGCGCAGCGTGAACTTTGGAGAAACTGAGACCATGGTGGCGGGCAGCACTATTAGGGGAAACCTGGGGTGGAGAGCTGCAACCAGTGTCCCAGGCTTCCTGTGACAAAGTGCTTTGCGCCTTTGCTCTGAGTTCGGCTTCCTTTAGAGACCCAGATGGGTTGTCGTGGGCCTAGACTTGCGACAGATTTGAGTCACAGCTACCCCAAGCTACATTTATGACTCTCCACCGAGTGACTAAGTCTTCCTCACACGGCTCCTCTCATTCTCTCAAGCAAAATGAGTCCTGTTCTAGGAAGCAATCCAATTTGTCTCAGCCTTGCCTACGCAGGTCACCAGGCGTGCCCAGGCGTGCTTGGCCACAGAGCGACAGGCCCACCTCGGCTGTAAACTGGGATTCCTGCCACACTGCAAATTAGATGCTTCTAAAATTTCTCTAAAGTTGGCAGCCAGGCTACATTCTTGCACCTTGGTCTTATGTCCCTTTATTTAGCTTCTGTGTGTGGATACTGCCCCAGTGAGCAAGATCAATAGTACCAGGATGACCTCATCCCCTGAGTGACTTGTCATTGAAAGGAAATATTCTTGAAGAGGGAGTGCATCTCACAGACGGCAAAGCTAGGAACTGACAAGAATTCTGTGCCATCTTTCGTGTGACTATAGGTTTGGAGTTGATGTCCGTCAGCGTAACCTGGCTGCTTTGAGACTACGTCCACAGGAACCCATTAAGAGGTCATATTAAGCTGGGCTGTGGTAGTGTATGCCTGGTTCCAGGACAGCCAGGACTGTTACACAGAGAAACCCTGTCTCAAAAAGAAAAGAAAAAAGTCTCATGGAAAGGTTATATGGATGGTAGACTCTGTACTGAGGGTGGTCCTGAACTTCTTCCCCTTTCTATCTCTGTCTGCCCATCTCTATTTCTCATTTAGTTCTTTTTTTAAAGCAGGGTGTCACTATTTAGCACTGGCAGACACGTAGATCACGCTGGCCCCCATTAAGGATGTATGCTACATGGCCAGATTGTTTAATTTTTGTTGTCATTTGTTTTATGTGTCCTGGTATTTTGCCTGCACGTATATCTATGCATCACATTTATATATGGTATTCACAGAGGCCAAAAGAGGGTGTCAGATCTCCTGGAACTGGAGTTGTTACAGACAGTTGTCAGCAGCCATGTGGGTGCTGGGAATCGAACCTGGGTTGCCTAGAAGAGCAGTCAATGCTCTTAACTGCTGAGCCAATTCTCCATCCCTGTTTAATGCGGTTTTAAGATGTTTGTTTGTTTGAGACAAGATCTCTGTGTGGCTTTGGAGCCTGTCCTGGAACTAGCTCTTGTAGACCAGGCTGGTCTTGAACTCACAGAAATCTGCCTGCCTCTGCCTCCCAAGTGCTGAGATTAAAGGCCTGCACCACCACTGCCTGGCCATGACCTTGAATTCTTATTTTAAAGGTTTTTATTTAATTAATTTGAGTCCCAAAGAGGGTATTGCATCCTGCAGGAATTGGAGCTGCAGGCAATTGCAAGCTATTCACTGTGGATACTGGGAACCTGAACTCGAGTCTTTTGAAGATTCAGTTCAGCAAACTCTTAACCACTGAGCCATCTCTCCTGTCCTGACCTTAACTTTTGGTCCCCTCCCCCAGAAAGTGCTTATATTACAAGTCTGTCTCACTGCATAGTCAGATTAGGTTTGCCTTGGCTTTTTGTTTGTTTGTTTGTTTTGTTTTGGGGATTTGTTTTGTTTTGTTTTCTGGTTTTGTTTGTTTGTTTTGAGACAGGGTTTCTCTGTGTAACTCTGGCTGTCCTGGAACTTGCTCCATGTAGGAGGTGGCCTTGAACCCAGAGAGCTACCTGCCTCTGCCTTCCTAGTGCTGGAATTAATGGCATAGGACACCTCTGCCCAGCTTGCC